AGTGCTAGCCAGCGTAGCACTGCCGAGCCTATAAGGATGCTGCAGGTTTTTCCTCCCAAGGTGGAGAACCTTGCATTTATCAGTGTTGAACACCATCAGGTTTTCATCTGCCCATTTTCTGAGCCTGTCGAGATCTGCCTGGATCACCTTCCTGTCCTCAGTTGTGGATGCTTTACCCCAGAGTTTGGTGTCGTCGGCAAACTTGGCCAGCCCACTTCTGACACCAGTGTCTACATCATTGATGAAGATGTTAAAAAGTAAGGGCCCTAGGACAGAGAAGGACCCCACTAGTCACAGGGCACCACAACGATTGACTTCTGTCAACCAGCACCCTCATTGGGTCCAGCCCTGCTGCACTAGGCAGGAAAGACAATGGGGGTCAGGTGACCCCAGCGAGGTGACTGTCCAGTCTCCTTTTGAAGATTTCCAGGGTCAATGATTACACCACCTCTGGAGGGAGTTTATTCCACAGTCTGCACACCCTATAGAGAAGGGGTGTGAGTTTGGGGTCTGGTATGGGTATCTGCAACATGGTGGTTTTCAGAGGCCCTGCACCTTCAGCAAATAGTATTATGGGGAAAGCTATGGGAGACCCTGGGGAAAGAATCAGCATGAGATGGACTGACTAGCTTGGAGAGGGCAGAGAACTGTCCTTTTGTCTTGTGTTTTGGCTGCTGTTAAGTCACACGACTGAGGACAGCATCTGTGTGGATGGAAGCTCTTTCAGCAAGGTTGTTTCAGAGTATAGCTGTCAGCTTCTTCATGCTCGACTGGATTGAGAGAGTTGATTGAAACACACTCAGTGGAGGGAAATCTGTTGTCTAGACATTCCCGGTGGGGTCCCAATCCTGCCACCGGTCTGCTGCACACAACTTGCTTCATTGTCCAGAACGAACATGCTGAACTCTTAGTGGTTTGGTCTGTAATGGTCCAGGGTCATGTGCAGATTTTAAGTGTCCTCTTTTTTTCTGAAGCTTGTAAAGTACTAGGATTCATGGTTTGAATCTGCCTCTTAAGCCAAACACTTTGAAACAAAGTGCATGGGGGAGACTGGGTGGGGGGACAGTGAGGTGCTGGAGTGTCAGGAGAAAATGCATTAATCTGGCATTGGGACAGCAAGGTCATCTTTGTTGCTGGATAATTCCTGCTCTGAACTTGGAAAAGAAGGGTCCATCTAGTGAGGATTTAGGGTTTCTCTTGGGAAGGACAGTCTGCAAATGTTCTGGTTTGACAGATCCTGACTTAGGATACTGTGTGCTCTGCCTCCACAGAAATAAGCAGAAACAAATACAGCCATCAGGAAATGCACAGACAGAAAGAAGTAAGTGAACCCAGGCATTTGCTGCAGGAAAAAGTGCACCCTTTAGGGTCCCTGCATGCGCCCCTCTCTCTGACATCTCAGGAATCTTGCTAATGAAAAAGCAGCCCTGCACTTCCCCAGTTTGGCATGGACCCTCAGACAGGCACTCTCTTTGTTAATTCCCAGCAGACATCTGAAAAGACTGGACAGCTGTGCAGGCCAGGAACGCAGACCTGCCAGACTTCCTTGGTGTGGCAGTGAATGCTTCTTTGCTCCAGTAAGTGTTGCAGGTTCCCCCAGAAAGGTAGTCAAATTCACCTGTGGGCTCATTTTTTCTCCCCCTTTGTGTCTAAGCTGTAAATACAACTCTAGAAGGTACGGGGAATAGTCTTATTGATCAGCTGTGTGCCCAGAGAGGTAAGAGGGAAGGGGAGAAGGCCAAGAAATATCTGGAGGAGGATCTGGCTGACAGAGGCAGCTCTGAAGTGAGCCCTGCTATCAGACATGGCTTGGCCAGGGGTCCTGGCAGTGGGCTAAAGGGCCAAAGCTCTAAAAGAGCTCCTGGAATCGCCAAGCTGAGGGATTGGTGATTGCCATGGGATGTGTCTGCACAGGACTGCTGTGAGGATGGACAGGGAAAGGAAGAGTTTTTCCACTGAAGCTCTGAGTGCACCACAACCATACACCAGCAAGGAACCTGGTCCACTCTATTTCAGAGGCACGGCGAGAAGAACAAATTCCTCTGTCTGGTGGACCATCTTTAATATGGTTAAGAAAAAAACAGCAGACACCAAACAAGGTCCCCAGAAGAGATGGGGCCGGGGTCCCAAAGTACGCACTTAGTAATTCCACACCTGAATGGAGATACACAAGGAGATGCCCCGAAATCACCAGGTGTAGCAGATAGGAATACCCTGATGTCCTCTCCCTTCAGTTCTATGACTGGTCAAACATGCTCTTTCCCTAGACAGGATTTATATGGTTCCCGACAAATTTTCAGAAGCTTCATCTGTATTCCTCTGCTGTACATTACAAGTTGCAGGAGGAGGAAGGATTTTTTTTTACTAAGGTTTCTGTCGACAAATGCAGATTTGCCAAAAGTAAAGCTTTTCACAGGAATTTCCAGGGTCCAGAATGAAATTCCAGGAGACACCTTGCCTTCCTCCACCTCTTCCTCATCAGCACCCCGGAGAAGGCCCAGACCACCAGACTGTTGGCTATTCTGGTGGGGGGGTACCTCTTGAACTTTCACCAAAAAAAGGGGTTTTCACATGGGAATAGAAACAAATGTCAAAAACTTTAACCTTGCTTTCTAGTCAGGCCCTATTTGAGGCGGTGTTAGCCACTGCCTCTCTGGGGTTGCCAGCAGTGGGTCTCTGAGAAACACGACTGGTCGTACCCTGCTCCCCTGAATCCAATGTGCTGCAAAACTGGCAGCTGTCCTGTGATGCTGCCTCAAGCATCTGCCCCTGAGCCCTCAGTCTCCCATGGGTCTGAGTGAGCTCACAGTGTGAATCTGGAGCAGCCTCACATAAACTTCTGGCTTGGGACTGGCTGAGTGGACTTGGATGGGTGGAGCAGGGTTAACTCCTTTCCCTCAAGAAAGCTGCCACTGAGTTGGCACCAGCGTGCCCTGGAGTGCCTTTGTCAGGAAGCGTCCTGAGTACCAGTTCTTCCTGCAGCCCCTCAGCTGAGACTCAAACGTAACTAGTGCCTATGCATGACCTGAGTCCATAAAGAGACTGGACTTGCTGCAGGAGGGTCCAGCTCTTCGGACAGAGGGGCTGCCAAGTCATCAAAACAGCCCCTTGGGGGTTCTCCCAACCATCGGACAGGTTAAGCAAATGCAGCGCAGCGTAGCTGCCTTCGTGCTTTCTTACCACTGACCCTCTTACTATAAGAGGTGCATCTGGGGCTTCCCTGGACCCCAGACAGTCTCATGAGGCACAGCCCACAGGAGACTTGTCACAGATGGGAAGGAAGTAAAGGGACTGGTCCAACCTGTGCTGCAGTCAACACTGTCCCTGGTGGGTTGCACTCACAGGCTCAGTACAGGTCAAAGATAACCAGGGGCTAAATGCTGCTGAAAAGCTCTGCTCCTCCTTGCAAAAGGTTCCTAGACCATGGCTTCCATGGAAAGCCGGGCTCTGTCGAGACATTAGCAGAGGGGTCTGTTCCAAAGCTCCTTCTCCCACGAGGGCTGTGACACACTTGCTCCTAGCTCTAGTAACCCCCTGCATCCCAGACTGCACAGCAGGGGCGCATGTTGTGTTACTCATGGGCTGGTGGAGGAGAACAATAAGCACCTTAATGAGAAAAATACCTTATAGAGTAGAATATGTACCATGGACTGCATCTGAGGTAGAGACAGACACCTTCACAGCAGAAGGAATGTCCAAGGAAGCAGCTTGTAGCTGTTTCTGCTGAAAACAGCTTTGCAGGGCAGCCAAGGGACAGTGTGTTTGTTGTAACTGTTCCCACTCAGGACAACCACGGGGGCTGAGCTTTGAATACAAACTTCCTTGAAGCTTGCGGGCATGGTTCTGTAGCTAACTAGAGCTTGAACATGACTAAGAGGGATGATCTGACTTCATGGGTCTTTTGCTGTTTATTGCTACAGGAGCACCTAGAAGATCTAAAGTGGATCAAGACCCCTTATGCTAGTTGCTATGTAGAAGGCAGAATAGATTTGCACCTGATATATATCTAGTTTGGCTAATCTACATATATATATATA